ACACTCTTTTAACTTTCATAAATCAATACTTTAGTTACCCAAAATTCTAATATCTTGCAGTTAAGTATAATCATAGGTTTATTAACTCCAATTAACTTCATTTGAGCTTTCATTAACTTAAATAATTACTAATATAACGTCTAACAATTCAAAATCATACTTTGAAGGTCTAGGGATCATCCAAAATGGATGACCCAAGCTTATTACAAACTTGTAAAAACTTCTAAATTATGTGTAGAATACTTGAACAATTCTCATTAGTTTTATTTAGACCAATGGGTTCGGATCCATAGCTTTAAATTCAAAATTCATCATTCCCCAACCTTAAGTCTCACTTCCAAATGGGTAAAGGGAAGAAGAGATAATGAAGGCATATTTAGGTGAAACCAAGCTCCAAACATTTTCAAAATACCCAAAAAATGATGCCCTAGCAGAGAAAATATTCTCTTGATTGCACCCTCTCTTTTTTCTGGTCTCTACCATTGGCTTGGATTGTTTTCATGTTAAAAAAAACTGGTTTAGGAAATTATATTGCAACATAAATTTTTATTTTGTAGCATAAGTCATAATAGGTTAAAAATTCAATTTCTATCTATGATTTAACTTTGAGTCACCTAATTTACTTTAAATCCAATTCAAAAGTTAAAACCAAACTCAATAGCTACCTTTAACTATCTTCAAACTCAGTTATACTTAAATTTATATAATTATCCTTCATTAGATTAATAAATCATAGAAAAAAATTTGAAATGTTATATATCTCATGCTTCTGTATGCTTTTAAAACTATACTTTATGGATGTTTGTGCCTTGAAATGTTTTGAATAGCTTATTCAACTTAGGTTCCTCATGAGTTGTTAAATCATGCCCCTTAAATGATGAGATTCAACTTTTTCTAGTGTATTAGTATTTAGTAAGTAGTTTTAATTTTTTCTACTATAATAAAATCTATTATACCATGATTTTGTCCATTTATACACCTTAAATTTGAATTATATTAATTATAGTAGACCTTCAACCTTGGTCCATTTCTTTTCCACTATGATTAACTCTTTTGACTGCGGTTAAATCTTTTTTACGGTGATAAGTGATTAGAGTAGTTAATTTTTAATAAAAATAGCAATGTATGGCGTTATGGTTAAGTTTATTGTAGTAAATTAGGTGAAGTTACGGAGCTGACGAGGGATGGTCGGTAAATTTGTGTCTCTCACTAGCAAAAGCAATTCCATCTGCATCACTTTCACTCCTACCGCTCTCTATTCTATGTCTTGTTATTCAGTGGCCGAGCCCGGCTACAGTGAGGGGTGCAAGACAATTTTTTTTTTTTTGGGCTGCAAGGTTGCAAGACAACTAAGCTGGAGATCAGAGGTAGATTTTAGATAAAATTATTTATTTAATCTTTTAATTTTAATTCAATTATAAGTCAGTCTCTTAAATTTAACTCACCTCAACTTAATCCTTAAAGTTTAATTCATTTAAAAGTTTAATCCTCGTACTTGGTGAATCAGATCGAAACTTGCTTATGTGTCAAACAATGCTTGCATGGAATCCTCATTATCACCCATAAGACTAACATGATAACATATTTAAGAAAAAAATCACATAAAGTAAAAAAGAAATCTGAAATAAAAAAGGAACAAAGACGGGGCCAGGCTCTCGGACGAGACGAACAAGCACAGGAAAAAAACGGCAGCCATGAACAACAGAGCAGACAAGCTATGACGCGGGGCGGTGGGAGCTTGATATTGTTGATGATAGAGACAAATATCAGTACAGGGAAAGATGCGGGTGACAGACCTTACTGATTTTCAGAGAACCAAATACTCAATTGGGATTTTCAAATATTATGAACAAATCGCAGGAGGAATGAAAAAGAAAATTTCGCAGACATTCCAAAGAATCGACGCCGACGAAGTAAAGTAAGTTTAGCGTCCAGGTGAATGCCCATCTTTCCTTCATGGTCTGTCCTTTATTTCTTGGCTTGTTCGCGTCTCAGATATTTCTTTTATGCTTTTCATGATTTCATTTTTTTTTTAAATATGTCATATAATGTTAATCTTATGTGGTGCTGATGATGATGCCAGCTGAGCATTGTTTATAACACACGGGCAAAGTTCAATTTGATTTACTAATGGCAAGGATAGAATTTTTAAATGGACCAAATTTTGAGGGACTGAATCATAATAATTAAATTTAAAAGATTGAATCATAATCAAATTAAAAGTTAAAGGTTCAAATGAATAATTTTTTCTAAATTTTACAATTTAGATTTTGCATCATTATACTAAACAAATAATATTTAGACCTAAAGCCATTCTTCGTTTAAAAATGTAAAATATTTTTAAATAACTTTCACTCTTAATAAAGTAATTATTTACTTTTAAAATAGCCTTATCTTTTCATATTTATTTTTATTAAACACCTTACAATATATATAAAATTATTTATCAATAGGAGTACTTAAAAAAAAACAATAATTACACTTTAAAAGATTAAAAATGTTTTACATTATTTAACATCTAATTCTTTAAAAAATGTTTTACATTTTTAAATGGAGGGAGTACTAGATATGTAATATTTTAATTCAAGTCTTATAAATTTAAGTCCGAAGTTTTAAATTTATTAGACCCGAACATATATAAACAATTTTTGTTTAAAATTTACTTTTTTTTAACAGCATGGCCCTCTTTTAACAAAATTTTTGTTCACATTTAGAATACTTTTGTTCGAAAATATTTATTTTAGATTGATAATCTGGTTGTACCATTGAACAGTATGCCATTTTTATTTTAAGAAAAAATATTATTGATAATTTCATTGTAATAAACTAAAATGTTTTCCTCACAGGTTCTTGAAAATGGAGTTATATACATACTGTATTTAGGTGCTTTTTATATTTTCAGTTATAGGTATTTATATAGTTCTTTGAGTAATATCCTTGGATAATGTTACTCGAGTAATCGTGTGTTTTGTAGATATTATTTTTATATTTTTAAAAATGCAATTATCATAATGCATGTCAACAGCGACCAATTGTCTTTTATCAAGATCCTGCGTGCCAATTCATCAATAACAATAAATTTAAATTAATGTTTAAATATAATTATTTTGAACCACTTAACTCAGGGTTGTAGCTCTGCCATAGTCTTATTTTTTCTTTGTAATAAAAACTTTATTTCATATTGATTTAATTTTATGAAAACCTTCTTTACAGAATCATTGCTAACAAAAGTATATATCTCTATTCTTTAACTTTATATAGCTCCCTTTGTTTTGTGAAGTTTTTTTTCCTCCCTAATCCTAATGTTATTAGTCTTTTCTAAATTAATAACAACGAATGCCCATTGTCACATTTTTAAATTCTTAGATAAAAAATCTAGTGTAAAATTAAAGTCCTGTTTTTGTTTTATGTTTATATCTCTCCCCGTCGGTTGTCAATCTATGCTCAGGGGGTAAAGAAGGCACATGATTCTTCCGTTTTTTTTTTTATATAAATTATTCCTACTGATTTCACAAATATCGATCAATATAAAAAGAATAAAAGTATATAAAATTTTAAATATAATTTTATATAAAAAAATTCAAATTATTTTTTCTCTTCTATAAAAGGTGATTTTAAAAATATTTTACAAAAATTATCTTAAAAACTGTATAACAATTTATAAATAAAATTAAATGGATTTTGTAGAATGGGTACCGTTTATGATACCTTCACAGGTCTATCCTTAGGATGAACGCATCATCAATCATACTCAATCAATGATACACTTCCTCTGACATGTCTACCAACCTTCATACGTTAATCCTTTCGATAGCTTTTCACTATTGTTATTTCTGAGGGAAAAACGCATCAGTTAAGATCATGCGTGCTATTGTTTTTAACTTTGTTATCTTTAGAAAAAGATGAAGCTAACGAATCTGGTTATCGCGGTTGCTTGGGAGAGAACAATGAGAACGGGATATGGATGCATTGTTTGGTAAAACTTACAGACAAAGCGTGCCTGAGTCTGACTAGTAAGTAACAGAGAGCCGAATGACGATCAAGTACGATTGCTTGATAGTTGATACCATACGTCTAAACGCCTCAACTTTTTAAATCATTAATTATTAGTTTATAGTATAATTCAGTGGTAAATACATCATCATCATTTTTATAACTTCATTCGCAATTCACAAGCACTAATAAAGCTGACAAATTTTATAGCAGGGAAAACGCTATATTATAAACTCAAGTCTCGTATAAACAATACGATTTAGAACATATTAACCATTACCAATAACAATAACTAGTTCGATATATAGTCTCTACGTTTTTGTGAAAGTTAATAAGAAATATAACGATTATTATGATGCAAAGAATACATATATATATATATAGACAGTGATTTCAAAAGACGCAATTAGTAATAACTATTTTTCTTTTCTCTCTCTGTTTTTTTTTTGTATAAGTCAAAATTCATGTCTTTTAACTTTAATCATTCAGAAAATTTGTTTTAAAATTCTTACCAGATCAGGTGACAAAGATAAAATGATTAGATATCATGAGCTCAAATGCTAAATTCCACAAGGCCTTTGCGGGCCTCAGCTAACCGGGTATGACCCACAAATTGATGTCTGTAAGATTTTGGGCAGCAAGCAACGGTTATGGACGAGCCGACGAAGACTTCGCTTGAGGAACACTTTTTCAATTGTTGCTGTCGTTTTTTTTCTTTAAATACTTTTATTAATTAATAGTAATATCAATATAAAATATTAACTTTAAGAAGTGAATGATGTTCATGTATAGTAGTGAGATGTTTGTGATTAATATTAATATTATAAAAAAAAGATGTTTCTGACTAAGAAAATTGCAGTAAAATGTGAAAATTTATTCTGGCCAAATAAACTAATGAACCCCTAGAAAGTCCAGGCCATCTCCGGGCGATAGTTTATATTTTGACCCGTTCTTGGACTATGCGTCCTTTCAAACTTTTGAGGCGACTTATTTAAACAGTCACAACGACAGCTTCGAATTATTTTTCAAATGCACGACAAAGAAAAAAAGAAGCAGCTTGCGATCCACTGCTTTCCCCTGTCTAACGTCAATGGCCGCCTGGTTTTCAAATCCATAATCAATGTTCTCGCTATCGTCCTTCTCTCTTTGTGAGATACTAGTCATGCTTTGCTCCCTCCCACGCTCAATTCCTTGACCCATTCTCTTCCTCCGCAATGAAGTGCTTCCATTTCTCAAACGGAGGAGGAGATCCCCGTGAAGACGATGACTCTGTTATCTCCAAGGCTTCCAAGCTCTCCTGGGCACGCTCTCTCAGTGTTGCTTCTTCTACCTTGGGCTCTAGAAGGTCTGAATTTGATTCTGATTCCAAGGACTTCTCTGATGCCGTAGAGTTCCATAAATTCTTGTCTCGGAGGCGAGCTAATGATTTGCGCGTGTTTTCCTTCTCCGAGCTTAAATTGGCAACTCGTGGGTTCAGCAGAGCTCTTTTGATCGGAGAGGGAGGGTTTGGTTGTGTCTACAAAGGGGTTGTCAGGGTACCCGGCGCGCATGCAAATGACGGTTCACTTTCCGATATGGATGTTGCGATCAAGCAATTGAACCGTAATGGACACCAGGCATGCTCCGTCTTCTTTCTATTATGCCCCTCCATATGCCTCTCTGGCCATGCCATTTTCTATTATTTATTTCTCAAATTCTACTCAGAGCGTCTGCATCAATTTTTTTTTTAACCTGTAATTTTGGTTGGGTTTGCTCTGCAAGAATTTCTATTTCGAGTTATTTATGCCAAATTGGTGAGATTTTGGCTGCTTGTAGTTTATATTATGGAGAGAAACTCCTTAGAGAGTAGGAACTGTTTAGAGGTTGAATTGATTTCGCATGAAGAGAGAATCACGTATTGCTGATTTCATTTTTCCTCCGAAAAATTATTACTGATTTATTTATTTCATCAACACAAATCTCAAGATGCACCTTTGGTGGAGAAGCTCAAGTTTTCATAGTTTCATCTCTTCTTGGAATACAGAATATACTTGCATTTCTTGTCTTCAGGGGCACAGGGAATGGATCAATGAAGTAAACTTGTTGGGTGTAATCAAGCATCCAAATCTCGTGAAGTTACTGGGATATTGCGCTGAAGATGATGAAAGGGGGATTCAGCGGCTTCTAGTTTATGAGCTTATGTTGAATAAGAGCTTGGAAGATCATCTTTTGGGTCGAGTGCCATCAACACTCACATGGATAGCAAGATTAAAAATTGCTCAAGATGCAGCCCGTGGATTGGCATATCTGCATGAAGAAATGGATTTTCAGGTAAATTATTTTTTCCCCCTGCTTTGGAGAGTATTCTTAATGTGTCAAATATTTGTGGACAGCATTTCTGAACCTCATACGGTTGGTAGCCACATAATGTATAGCAACTTCAAATTTCATGATCAAATTTCCATAAATAGGAGTACGGTCATTAAATGACTCAGAAAGGCAAGATCCATATGGTTTGTATTAACAAAATCATTAAAACTACATACTGGTCTCATTAACATTGCTATGTGGTTGGTCATTGCTCTTTGAAAGTCTGTAAGGACAAGACCAATGTCCTCCCGTACTTCATGTTTGTATTCTTTTTACTGTTCTGGACGGCTTCTAACCTGGATATAGCGTGCTGCATCAGCTTTCATTGGTAAATCATTGTGATATTAAATTCACATTATGATTTGTGCAGCTTATTTTTCGGGATTTCAAGACATCCAACGTCCTGCTGGATGTGGACTTCAATGCAAAGCTTTCTGATTTTGGACTTGCTAGGCAAGGACCCGCAGAAGGATTTGGCCACGTTTCAACATCTGTAAGAAAGTGTCCATCTTCTGGAGAAAGTTCTAAAGATTGTTCTTCTAAAATTGCCTTTTCAAAATCTTATAAAATTGCATGTAAATGATGGAATAACTTGCCTCCTGGTAGTTCACTTGAACACATTAGAATAGTTCATTTTCACCCTTTTTCATTGATGATTTTTTCCTTTGTGTGAAATCATAATGATGGATTAAAGCTTTTTTTCTTCTGCATGACAATGATGCTCTGCTATATGTGGAATTAATAACGGGCTTTCCTCTTTGCAAAGGTTGTGGGAACTATTGGTTATGCTGCACCGGAGTATGTTCATACTGGTAAGTTAACTGCTAAGAGTGATGTTTGGAGCTTTGGTGTAGTTCTTTATGAACTCATCACCGGGAGACGAGCTGTCGAGAGAAACCTCCCAAGAAACGAACAAAAGCTCTTGGAATGGGTAAGACATTATGTTTCTGACCCTAGAAAGTTCCATCTTCTGGTAGACCCACGACTTGAAGGACAATATTGCATTAAATCAGCTCAAAAACTTGCAACCCTAGCAAACAAGTGTCTTATGAAGCACCCGAAGTCCCGTCCTAAAATGAGTGAGGTGGTTGAGATGCTTGGATGCATAATTAACGATGCAATTTCTCAGTTTGAATGCACTCTTCAAGCTGTTGTGAGTGAAGAAGAAAAAGAAGAGAAGTTAACTGAAGAGGACGCTGAATCTGGGGCGGCTAAACAAGGGAATAATTATCTGAAGAAGGTCTTGGACTTCAGAGAAATGATGAGCTTAAGAAACAAGTCTATTAGAAGGTTGGATTGGAAAAATTGGGCGCCTGGGTTAGTACGAACTTGGTGATAACCAATCATTTATGCTCCTGGCAACGTTAGGTGATCGCATAAATTCCGGTCAATGAGAAATCAACCATGTCAGGCGCAGATGTTTCAATGAACACATTTCTCCAGTTTTATATTTTGTTATTCTAAATAGTTGAATGTACAGATCATGAAGCAAGCCCCATTTTTTTGGTAATTGGGCTTTCTTGAGTGAACATGTTTAGGCGTACATGTCTGGTTCAATTTTGCATTGTTTTGTATCTGTAATTTCATGTCAAATGGATTTGGAATTTACAGGGAATGGTTTAAGATCATTTATATTCTCACTGGATCTCATGATTTGTGCAAAATTCAGGAAGGTTGTGCTGTTCTTGATTTATGGTTATTGTGACTTTTTATAAAGTATAAACTTTAATTAAATATAGATATAGATTTTCTATTGATCCTCGAAGGAAAGGCAAGTTTATCTGCTGCTCCCTGTTTTAGGCGTCTTTGGGACGACTGTATAGTAAAAAGTCACACAATCTTACACCTAACAAAACCAGTGAACATCCAGATCTGATCACGATGAAGTCGTGCCTAGTCACAGGTCTGTTCAAGAGTTATCTTAATTTTTCATTGGCAAGTTAAGGGAGAAAAAAAGGCACAGAAAAAGACGAAATCAAAGAGTACAGCTTGAGATGCTAGCACTTAGGTGGTGAAGTTTTGTACTAATGGTACAATCATGGTCCAATCCGGACCGTCGGACGTTCAGTCACGTCCAGCCAATGCCTTTCAATAGTCTCCAATATGTTCTTTGTATTCTAGTGGGGGTGGGGTCCTGTTTCCGGACGAGGTTTGAGGTGACACAGCTGTCCTAGACCACGTGACTGTCACGGCACCTGTGAGATGAACTCCTTTTGCGGCTGTGGCTTGCCAACTTTAATCGGTCACAATATTAACTTTCCTTTCATTCTGTAAACCTCTCGCAGTGATATCAAGATTATTGTTAAACTACCTCAGTGTTCATCCAACCAATAACTCACATTCTTGTTTATCAGATCTCAAAACGAATTGCGATATCCCTCTGCACTGGAAATTATCAAGGTTTCCTTTTTGACGAGAAGGAATGCATCGACGAAGCCAGCAAAAATGTACGGAAAGAAACTTTCTATCTTGATCAATCATACAAAAGCAATCGCCTACCTTCCCAACTATCCGTAACTGTGACTCGTTAACAGACACTTGAAAGCATACAAAATACATACATACGCCGATCTCAAGCGGAAACGCCCAGGAACATATCAGCTGAAAAGGGATTATGTACAATATCTATCCAGGTTAAGAAACAAGACTGTGCTGTCAAGCATAGAGAGGAGAAGCAGATGGCCTGGGATAAGCCCTCCTGCCTTTAAAGTCATCGGCGCTTCTTCTCCGAATACGAGGCCGAGAGTTGCGGTGGCTTCCATTTTCACGAACGCAGACTTGGAGCTGCTCCAAAGCTTTGACAACCTCATCCATGGTAGGCCTGATCTTGGGCTCGCTGGAGAGGCATCGCAGAGCCAGCATTGCTGTCTTGTGAGCCTCATCGATCGAGTACTCGCCCTCCAGACGACTGTCCATGATGCGAAAGATCTTTCGTTTGTTTGCCAAACAGGGCTTAGCCCATTCCACCAAATTGTGCTGACCAGATGGCCTGTTCTTATCCACGGCTCGCCGCCCCGATAGCATCTCCAGCAGTACAACTCCAAAACTGTACACGTCGCTCTTGGCTGTTAGGTGGCCTAGATTATCAAGGAGTAGCTTTTGGTTATTGTCATCGCTGAGCACAAACTAAGTGACACGATCCTAACATTGTTTGTTACCTGTGGCTAGATATTCAGGAGCTGCGTATCCATAGGTTCCCATGACCCTGGTGGAGACGTGACTCTTGTCGCCGGTTGGTCCATCTCTTGCCAGCCCAAAATCAGAAAGTTTTGCATTATATTTCTGCCATCAATTCAAGCAGCGGTTAATTTTCAGATATGCCACAACTCAAAAGATTGACTCCATCTATAACGAATAAACACATAAAAATCGATTCCGTCAAAAGAAGGCCACGTACGGAATCCAGCAAGACATTTGAAGTCTTGAAATCCCGGTATATCACTTTTATGTCGCCGCTGTGGAGAAATGCAAGCCCTCTGGCAGCACCGAGGGCAACTTTCATCCGGAGGCTCCAAGAGAGAGGTTGAAAATATGAACCTCCTGTTACAACAAATTGCAACAACATGTACCGTTGAGGTCAAAGCACAAACTGTTTAGTTCACGCATGTCAAAGTATGGGACTGCAAGACCTTACTTCTGAACAAATGATTCTCCAGGCTGCCACGAGGCATGAATTCGTAGGCCAAAAGACGGTGTTCATCTTCCAGGCAATAACCAATCAATTTCACGAGATGAGGATGACAGAGCTGTCCAAGGTAGTTCACTTCGGCCTGGAACACAACCAAAAACAGAGGAACTTGTTTACCGGTGTGAACAGACTGCTAAGCTTCCCTACCTTCATTTTTATCATTAGTTAGTCCTGTACTTCCTCCTTTTTCTCAAATAAAAAGCAAAAGCAGAGCAGTGGAACTCACCAACCACTCCTTGTGACCTTGGAAACCATCTTGATTAAGTCTTTTGACAGCAATAACCATGCCAGTCCCGGGTTTGGCAGGAATCAAAGAGTGCTCATCGATCCATCCTTTGTACACCGATCCAAAGCCACCTTCTCCTAACACGCTATCAGTACGGAAATTTCTGGTGGCCGTCTTCATTTCTGCTAAAGTGAAGCTTTTTAAATTGGATGACTGCAAGATCTCTCCCTCGCTCCTTGGAGTCTGAGGAACTGACACTGCCGACGCCTTGCTCCCTGTGCTGTTAGCATCCTTTCCGTCAGTGCTCGCGTACTTTGAATTTAACCCTGCAAATAAAAATTATACATCTTGAGTTATTCGCTTGGATCTTGAAGTTCATAGAAGGGTAAAAATCACATTGGTCCATTAGTGGAGAACAGAGACAGAGCCTTAAAGGATTATCACTGGATAAAAATCATTGATTAACGAATGTTCTCCAGAATTCATGGACAGAATTTTTAGCAGAGTCACCCAATTTCATCCCTTGTTGAACGGGAACCGCGGAGCAGGAAAACAAAAGGTTCCAGGAAGGAAGATTAAAAGCGATCGGAGAGAGGAGGAGAATTTTGCAGAAAAAATTCAGTCCCAGGGGGAAGGAAAAAGCTCAGATTGTATGACGTACAATAAGGGTTTAGCCGTTTGGGTGAGTGTAAATTTCAAAAAGTTAAACAGGCAACAGGGAGCCAACACACATGTACATGCGTCAAACTGAAGTGTATATGAGGAATACCTGAGTTGCATGGGCTTTCTGCTTTAATTTGGGCGCTCAAACAACCACCCATGCCAGAAACGAGAGTTAGTTAATCCGTTCCCCGGTCGACTATATATTACAAAAAGCAAAGCACGTGAATAGCAGATGGGAAGAGAAAGAAGAGAAAACAGAGAAGAAAATGGCAAGAATTGAAGAGACGAACCTTTATCAGGATGAAGAAGCCGTTGGGGGAGAGGAAGTATTAGAGAGGGCAAGCTGAGCAGGTTAGACTTGGAGCTCAACAAAATAAAAGGGTGATGCATTCATGCTGGGATGGACCCGTCCTTGTTATGATGGTCCCGCTTCAAGCTGTATTGATGGGAGGTGAATTCTGCTCTCTTCGTCACACGCTGCCACTAAATTCATTTGATTTCTGAAAAAACTACCATGGGTGCACATTCTTTAATTTGTTTTCTCGATGCTAAAAAAAAATATTATTAGTTTATTACCAAATATTAGCTTGTAATGTACGTATAATTTCAATCCCATGCTTGATCCAAAAAAAAAATAATTACAATTCCATGCTTGATGCTCCCTCCTCTCTCTCTCTCTCTCTCACATTCCTGGTTTTACAAAACAGTCAACTCTCGCGTCAAGTCAAAGCACATAAACGTGGCCATGCATTTTTCAACTATCATTATCTTGCATGTCTATGATCCAGTGAATTTGCATCTGGAACTTGTAAAATGAGTCTGCTCAAAAAGCATGCTACAGATCCACGAACTTTAAAAGCGCTAACATCCGTGTTTTATTAGTATATCAATTTTTCCGGACGTTGTAATATTATTCCTGAAATGGAAGACAGAACAAGACAACATGATCTTGAACCTGAACTTAAAGTGAGGCTGAGGGACATAAAATTTGGCCAGTGAGATGTATTCCGAAGACATGTAATTTGTGTGTTTGGTCAGCAGGAAACATGGAGCTCCGCACATAGAAACGGAGACATGCACTCTCTCAAGAAGAAGAGGGATCCAAATTGCAATAGAAAAAATTAATTTTTTAATCCTTTAACTTTTAATTCACTTATAACTCAATCCTTTAATTATGACTTGCTATGACTCAATCCTTTAATTATAACTCATTGTAACTCAGTCTCTCAATTTTTAATTTACATATAACTCGGTCCTTATTTTTAATTTTTTTTAAATTTTTTTTATAAAATAAGAGGGATAAAAAAATACTAATATATTATTTTAAAATACTCTCCTCTTGCTCATTGATGTGAGATATAAGTTAACATGAAAAAAAAATTAACAAAAGTTAATGGACTAATTTGTAAGTGATTCAAAAGTTGAGGGATTGAGTCTTAGGCGAGTCATAGTTGAGAGATTGGGTCACAGTGAATCATAGTTGAGGGATTAAGTTACGTGTGACTTAAAAGTTAAAAAATTAAAAGATTAATTTTTTCATTCCAATATATAACAAGTTGAAGTTAAACACAGCTCTGGTGGGACCAATTCATGCCGTTGGAGTCCTCTGGAATTTCAGGATGCATCCTGGAGCCTCTGATTCTTATTTATCACCCAGTCCATAAGGCCTCCATCTCACCAGAATTCAGAGATACTAAAAGAAATAAAGTAATTGAAACTGAGAGTCTGGGGATGAAGTTCTTGACGAAAACGTTGAAAAGCGGCACTTTTACGTGGTTGTGATTGGGCACTTGAGAAGCAGTGTTGTGAGGACGTGGGAGAGCGTGATGTTACAGCGCTGGTGGGAGTGGATTGGATGCACTTATCTCACATACGATGGAAATATAGGCACCGCTTGTTGGCTATTTGTAATGATATTCAGCCAGCAGGGGAAACCAAAAACCCTCAAGTGAAACGCTAAGGCCACGCCTATGCCTCTCAAGTTTCAAGTTTCAACATCTTTTGGAACTTCACCTTTTATACTTTTCACCCTTCACGTGTGCGATCATTATGATCCCGTTTCCACGATCTCAACTTTCCAGATATACGAAGGAAAAACGAATCCGTGAATTATGGAATTAATAATATTCACAGGCTGTGTATCATTGAAACGAGTTTATCTATCCCAATCAACTTCAAGATAACAAGGGCGGATATAAAAGCACAGCAAATTCTTCCGCGGCTCGCTGTACGTGCATACATATATATGTTTTTTTTTTTTCATGTTATTATATACATATAGTGGCATGGGTTACAATTTATCATGGGATGCTCTTCCCCAAGTCTCAATGCGTGTGCAAAAGGAACGGAAAGTAATCAGAGAGGAGGAGGTTGGATTTGGATGGGAGGGGAGGGGGTGATTGGAATGTGCAATAAATTGAAGAGGACCCATTTATTTAAAGCAAGAGAAGACAGGCACGGACATGGACAACGCACCACAACCTCCTTTCTCGAGTTCGATCACGTTGGGAAGCCTCCTTCATTTAATTTTCACAGGCCTGTGCCGCTCCAAAAATAGTTATGATCTCCTACTTTAAATTTCAATGTCATTTCATCTACATGTTTGCTTCTTATCCTTCGCCGCACAATTGTCCTATTCCAGAATTTATAAATATACACACGTCCTCCGGGGTAGCTTTGCCGACTTAAAATGATTACTGCCACCGAGAGATTCCATCAAATTTAATGGCATTGATTAGTTGTCTAAGCCATGATTTAATAAATCAATCAACCTCCATAACACCCACACAGCATTCGTGCCCCTCCCTCGTTCCCAAACCCCAATCACATTCATGCCTTCCTCAATCACAACCCCGACCCCAAATTAAAAAGGAAAAAAAAAAAACAAGTCCTGAAAATTTATTAGGAATTCTCATCCCAGCACTATGGGATACACTCAACAAGACAAAATTCGGCCCAATACCAGTAAACCGCTATGCTCACTGTCACTTGATCATGGGCATGGCATCATAAACAAAGTTGAGGCAAATAATTACTTTTTTAATCTTATTTATAAGTTATTTTCAACATGTTTCACTGAAACAAAAAAAACTTTAAAATTTTTTAACTTTTATCTTAAAATTTAATAAGTTTTTAACTTTACTACTTTAAATATATATATATATATATATTTTAATAACATATTCTCTCTTTCAACATTTAATGAAGGGTAAAACAGAAAATTAGTGTTAGAAAATTTTATGAGATGACTACTAAATAGTAAATACTCCAGAGTTTTTGCACAACGAAACACGAGACATTGAACGAAACCCATTTGATGGCATGACGATCAAGGCGAAAGCCAATTCGCAATTATATGGATGCTTTGTTCACCAAAGCCAAGTTCCGAGCACAGCACCATAAGCCAACCAAAGCAGTCAACTCCAAAACATATCAGTTCTCAATTATAAAATTCAATTCTTCACAGTGGCCGACTTGATAATGTCAATGAACTCCGGCTATATACACAAAGTATTAACATAATCAGTCACAAAGAATATGCAAACCGACACACAAGAACATTATATATATTTATAGGATAAACTACACGTTTGATCTCCTCATCATTACCCTAGTTACACACTTCTAACTTAATTCTGTTTCAATATCACTCCATAATTTTACTTTCCTTGTTCAAACTTTAGTTTGTCTAACGTATACTAGTTCTATCTTAAGTTTTACTTTCTTTCATTAATTTCATTTATGTTACAATTTGACATTTCAACTTATAAAAACGAAAAATGACCCAAATGCATATTTTATTCCCTTTAACACAGCCATTTTTAACTTTTTTTTGAAAAGAAAATACCAGAGTTGAAGTAACCAAAAAGTAATTATGAACTTTTCTATGAAGTATTTAATTTGACGATGTTAAATAAATAAAACATTTTGGTAGTTTTTTGAAGTTAAAGAGATCAAATTAGATCAAAATGAAATTAAGGAAGAGAGGGAACATGAAGTCAAGTTAATGGACCAGATGGAAAGCAAATGAATTTCCAGGACAATCATGGAACCAAATATAAAATGAAAGATTTAAATGGGATCCCAGTGAAATTAATAGACGAAAAGGAAACCAATAAAGAATCAAAAGTGCATGATTTTGTTAACTACTATGTTATATAATACTTTCTCCGTCCCAAATTATAAAACACTTTTAAACAAAATCTTATATACTAATAAAACTTATGAAATACACTTTACAACCTTACTTTTTCAAAAAAAAAATATAACCTTTTAAAAATACCTTTCATTTAACACTCCATTAATAAAGAATATTGAAGAAAGAGAATACATGACAAGGGTAATATTGAAAAAGTGTCATCAATGAAACCTCATTTTTGTCAAAGTGTTTTAAATTTTGGGACGCTGAATCTTTCTTAAAAGTGTTTTATAATTTGAAACAGAGGAAGTAATAACAATAAAAAAACAAAATCACCTTCAAAGAAGCACCTCCAACCAAAAAACCATCCACATCTGGCCGCGCTGCCAATTCTTTACAGTTTGCTCCGTTAACAGAACCTGCAGTTAATACGTGGTAATTGAATACGGAATTTATTATAAGCAGGGACAACCCCATGATATGCAGATAAAGTGGAAAAGCAAAACAATTTAAACCTAAACTTTTATGTTTTGCCTTCCTCAAAAAAGTATGATCTGATAATTTTCTTCTTTAGCTTCCTCTAAAGCCTTAAATTAAAACTCAAGAATAAAGCATGCTCGTGCATGTATACCTGACAAAGATAAATGCTAAGTCGCAATTGGGAATACCTCCATAGATAATTCTGACAGATGAAGCGACTTCAGCACTGACATTCCTATGAATCCATTTCCTTAATTCGGCATGGACCTGGTACAAACAAACATCCAATAAACCAACTCAGCAAAGCAATGTTAAACCAAATGGGTTCTGCAGCAGTACAGCTAAGGGCTCATTCTCCTTCACCAGGATACCTTGTGCTGAGAGTAAGGTTATTTAGACACACTTACCTCCTGAGCCTGAGCAGGAGTTGCAACCTTTCCTGTCCCAATGGCCCATACTGGCTCACAGGCCAAAACAACGTTATCCCAGTTTGATATTTTAGCTGCAAACACAATTAAGGTCAGCCCTCAACACTTAAATTGACAAAAACTAACGCCATGACCCACTCTCCTAATGCAACCAGAACAGCCAAAACGTTCGCTCACAAAAAATATGCAATTAACATTGAGGATGTTGAATTTGTGTAAGGAATGTGAGGAAGAAAAGGCACCTGCAATCGCTGTTGTTTGCTCAGCAACAACAGCCACTGTTGAACCAGCTTCACGTTGTTCAAGAGTCTCCCCAATGCAAGCAATAACTTTCACACCTTGAGAAAGTGCATATGCAACTTTATCGCCCACAAAGTGTGATAGACAACAGAGAGGTACAGAGTAACATACAAATGTTAAGTCTGGTTGCTAATACAAGTTGCTCTAAGGAGTAGATTAGCACAATACACTAAGAATTGTAACGTGTAGAAAAATATTTCTGAAAGACCATAAACAATAGAACACTCTACCTCATTTGATTCATTTAAAAGCTGTCTCCGTTCCGAGTGACCAAGAATGACCCAAGGGATACCCAAATAAACAAGCATTTCAGCGCTGTGATTATGATAGACATCAAAATGACATTTCTTCAAGGCCAAAAAATTGAAAGAGAAGGAAAGAAATGACATGTCACTGGCTGATAAATGGTCTGGTCAGAGCACATACACAGTGCAAAAGACATGAAGTAAAAGGAGAATAAAACTAAAGAAAGTTCTACAGAATAGTTACTGATACGGGAAAAAATCTTAAATAAATTAACGAAACAATGCATAGCATACCTAATCTCTCCAGTAAAAGCACCACCTTTGCGAACCCAACAACTTTGTGCTGCGACATGGAAGTCAGGCCGTAACAAACTTTTTACGAGAGAGAGGAATACGAAGGGAGGGCTAACAACAACTTCTGCAAAAATAATAAGAAGAGATCTTGTTCATTCAATTGTAAGCCACAATGACAACATTAATAGGATGGACTCATTTAAGAAATAAAGAGAGTTGCAAACGGGGATAACTGAACAATTTGCCCCCGCTTCTGTCGCTGAAGACAACTTTAATTTTCAGTTAAAATTTCGGGTCCGTTTTTCCTGAAGGCTAGTGATTAATGAAAATAGGGCAGAAGATGTTGAAGGGCCAGCAGAAATTGAAGTGAAATGCTCCGTCTCTACACAAGTTAAATGAAAATTCATTTAAGATCCAGATTACATGCTAAACAAGAATAAGGAAGCCAGTATGAAGCTCATTAAGACTCACCTACAACATCTTCACCGGGAATTTGAGCTTCATTCAAAGTAGTAACAATCTTCTTCACCTCTTCGTTGGTCCCGTTCTGCAACAAAGTCAATTTGAGGAATCAATTACTCATTGCTTAAAGAACATTGAACTGCTTAATTTGTTCGTGCAAATCGCGGAGGGAAGGATCTCAAGGGTGTCTGTGGAAGGAAATAGTATCCCAGATCATTGATGGATTCCGAAACAGGAATGAACCCCTGTTCACGGAGAACCAATCTGATAGTAATATAAAGAAATGCATGCACGGAAGGGACAAATTTGTGACCATTCCTCATCCTCAAGAAGCAAATCAATAATCAACAGATTGTAAAGGAAGCGCTCTCAAATTTCATCGATGCGAAATAAAAGTAGAGCGAGAACAATGTAAAATGCCAATGACGGTTAAAAAAGGACTTGGAATTAGAAACATACACATTTCCAGCTGCCACCGACGAAGAATTTTCTCCCCATAGATTTGTTTTTCCTTCGATCCCGACGAAAAACTAAGCAGCTGCACCGGCAGCACTATGGGGAATATGATACGGATGACGGTGGAGAGTGGAGACCGCAACCGCATTCCATTATAACGGAATATGCTCCGCATTTTGTATGGTAATGATCCGAATATTTTCCTTTTCCCTTACTTTCTATTGACATGTTTTTTTTTTAATCATCGTTATAACAAAGCTTTTAAATTTGTTTAAATTTAAATTTCAATAAAATACATAAATAAAATATTATAATTTTAAATTATTTAAATTAAATTTGGATAGTTTCAAGTTATTTATATATTTCATATAAAATTTAAATAATAATCTTATTAAATATTAAATCTAAATCGTTAAAAATTTGATCTAACAATTTATTTTTTAAAAAATGACTTTAGTACTTATAAATTTATTTTTCAAAATGTAGAAATTACAATTTTAAAAATTGATTGCACCAAATTAAAAATTAAATATTAAAAAGTCAAAATTGTAAAAACTAACTCAAAATTACAGGAATCACACAGTTAATTTTTCTATTGTCAAACGTGAAAAATAGCTTTGGATTTACTAGCTAAGAAATTTGGGGTGAAGTTTTCTCCAGATTTTTAACTTTATCCTATCTTTTTATTTGACTGATATGTTTGGCCTACCCTTTTTTTTTTGGGTAAAAATATGTTTAGCCTATCTAAATGTACATAAAATATGTCCTATTTTTTTGTATTTAAAAATATTTCAACGATCAATGTCTTTATAATATAGTGATATGTAAATTTTTTTTAATTAAAAAGTTGTGAATTTAATTCTACTTGTACTATCAGTTGTTACTTATGAGTAAGGTTGTTTGATTTGTACCCATCTTGATTAGCCCGATATCATCTCAATCATATCAGGATGGGTCTCATCCCAACCCGAAAACAATCGAGATGAGACTTTATGAGATGAGTTAGGAAAGGAGTTTAGGACGAGACATGGGATTACTATCGGAATATCCCGTCACGTCCCGTCCCAAATATGATATATATAATTTTTATTTTAAAATATATTAAATATATTAATATAATTTATACTTTATTAATTATATCAATTATAATTTTAATGCTTGCAATTCTTATATAAAATTAAAGTTTTTTATATTAATAATTTTAATGACATAGAATGAATAGGACAATATTTTCCTTTATAATATATTAATTATATTAATACAATTTATATATATATATATATATATATCTATTTGATAAATTTTTATTTATATCGCATTTCTTATTTTATTTTTGAAATATTAATTAGCCTAGTATATCTCAGCTAAAGTAGAAGAACAATAATTTGATGTTATACTTGACTTACTTGTTGTTGCTACTCTTATAACCCAGAGATCACTTGTAATTGCTATCATAATGTGTAGTTGTGATTAATGTAATTTAATAATTAATTTTAAATTGTGATAATTTATGTAATTGTGTTGTTTTGATTTAAAACTTAATAAATTATATGATTTAAAATTTTAATGAATGTTATTATCTAGATTTTTCTCCGACATTATCGAACTTATTGAACTGTGGGATATCTCAATCTCGTCTTGGTCCCGTTTCAATTCATAATGAAACGGAATGAGACGAGACACAGGATAGAAATTCAATCCCAATTTTTTTTTTCGAGATAGAACATATGATAAAGGTGTTTCGGTTTCATCTCATCCCATGAACACCCTTACTTATGAGTACTTGTCTTTCTCGTTCCTTTTTTTTTTTAATGACATATTTCAACTCACTCAAATCGAAAGGATAATATCATATAGCGACCTGATTTGGAAAATTTCAAAATAAAACTTGCGTGTAATTAAAAAAAAAGGTTGGAAGAGTTCTTCATACTCAATTGGAGCTTAACTTATCAACTAAAATAAAAACTATAGCAGCAGTGGATAATATCATATAGCGACCTGATCTGTTACTCGAAAGCATTAAATGAGCGACCAGGGTCACGAGATTTTGGAAGGGAAAATCACAATTAAAGACTTGAACAAATAAGTAATGAAAATTGATAACCGCAAAATCCTAAAATTAAATTTATGGATCATAATTTTTTTTTTGTTTATTAGCAATTAAGATTTTTTTTTTTGTAAGTATCAAGAATTGGCTCTGTTGACAATGAAAATGTTTAGGAAAATTTCATTTAAGACCTCTTGACCATGCTTAATGAAAAAGAAGATTCCTTAACCTTCAAAAATTCACTTCAAACTAAGGGTATTAAAGTGAAATTAAAATACAGTATAAAATTATCTCATTGTCTCCCATTTTTTTTAATTATTTATTGAAGTTATTTATTTTCTTGCATGAAATTGTTCATTAACTTATAGGAATTGTCTGTGCTATTATTTTTTTAATCAAAAAGTGGAGGTTGATAAAAGATACAAAAAACATAATTAAGAATAAAACTGTGCCATTATTGAATATTGATTTTATTTCGTGTTGTAATCATGATAAAATGAGTTTTTTATTTCCCTACATGAAATTGTTCATTGACCTACAATAATTGTTTGTGTCATTGATGAATCTTAATTTTATTCCGAGTATTGTAATTATAGTAAAACAAATTGTTCATTGCCCCATATTAAAGTTGTTCATTTTCCTTACATGAAGTTGTTCATAGTTATAATAGGTCATCAAGTAGATTTCTCTCTAAACCCCCCTTAAATTTTCTTGAAACTTCAGTTCTTAGGTAGAATGCAATATTGTGGCAAAAATAAATATTCAAAAGCATATATAATCTCATTATTTGAACAAGTCAAGAAATTAAGCACAAATAGAATGGTATGATGATGGGGGTGGTGAAATTTACATCAGGAGCACTAAAAGGCTTGAAAAGAGAAGGAATCAAGCTTATGTCATGTTTAGAAGTGAGAACAACGAACTTCCAAAGTCTAAAATGGAACTAAGATAGAAAAAGTGGAGGCTTGCATCTTCAATTGATGAGATTGTAGCAATGTCACTGAGAAGCCACTTCTCAAGCACCTCTACACATATTCAATAAATTTGTCTAGGATGATTGATTCTATGTATGACTCTGCAAGTGTCAAAGGGTAATCTAAGCATCTATTCCATGCAATAAAGCTATAACATCTTGCATTTTAACCCCTTAATTAACAAAAGAATAAATCAAGTTTAACTAATTAGAGTTGGGTTAAAGGACAGTTAGATAAGGCTAATGAGTTTTTTAGCTTGTGGTTGTAGTTTGGGGATTAGGATCTGGAGCAGAATTTAGCCACCTAGGCTTTAAAAGAAGAAGAAAACATAAGGGTCCTCTTATTGTACCACGTGCTACGACATGCGATGCACAAGTCACAATGCATCACAAAACAAGAAAATGTAACATCCTGATTTTTTTATATAATAAAGAAATTGTGGAATTTAGGTTTTGAGAAAAAAATGATAATAATAGGAATTTATATTATTTGAGGTTATTTAGAAATAATATTATGGTTAGGTATTTAATTATGAATTTAAAATTTAAATTTAAACCACATAAGCAATATTTAGTTAAGATATAATACATAAATAATTTTTTTTTATGTATGTGTTGAAAAAAAAAGAGAAGGTAGAAGGAACAAAAAAAAGGGGGTGGAAGGTTGTTGTTTCTAAGTCCCACATTGGTTAGATGAGGGAAGAGAAGAGGTGCCTTCATGTATAAAAGGAGGGGGTGTGTGCATTAGGAAGCATGAGAGGCTAAGATGCAATTAGAGAAAATTGTAACTTTTGGCCCAAAGGTTTGAATAATTAAATTCAAACCTATAGTTTTTTTTTAATATAATTTTGGGACTCACAATCCCATTTTTATATTATTTTTCTCTCTTCCTCTCACGTTGCTCGGCGTTTTCTCGCAAGGGGAGATTATTTTTTTTTCTTCAGGTATGTTCTAACTTTCCTGTTTAGATTAGCATTTAAAAATTTATTTAATTATAAAATTAATTTTATAGTTATTTTCTAAATAATATTAGCTTTCTAGTGATATGATTATTTTATAGGATAGAGTAAATATTCTGATTAGGATTTTTTTTTCTATAGGATAGTTAATCTGATGATATGATAGATTAAAAATATAGGTTAAAACTCTTAGGGATATAATAAATATTATAGAATACTTTCTTGAGGTTGAAACTCATGTTTAAGAATTTTTGAGTTGAAATCTAGATCTATATGGTCGAATTTATGTGGAATCTGAGATGTAGGGATGAACCTCTGATTATTAAATATTTATTTAAGTATGAATAGGTATTTTTGAGGTTATAGAAAGGTGATTTGAGGTTTCAGGATAATTCTAAAATTTTTAATTTATTTTTAGGCGAATTTTTAGAATATAGAAGGATGAAATTGTGATACTAGAAGTAATTTGAGGCTTAAAAATAGTTTATTAGGGTACGAGAATTTTAGAAAAGAATTTGAGAAGTTAAATGAGGCATAAATCTTAAATTAGTGTTAATATGGATTATAGATCTAAGGCTTTCTAACTCTTTAAATTAGAGTTATGTATTTTAATGTAAAATTAATACATAGTATTATGAAATAACTATGTAGATTGTGTTGACAAAGATAGTGGTGAAAGAGGAGTTGTGAAGGGGAACTTGTTATTCAAGACACAAGGTAACCATTATTAATGTGTTGTGATGGTGTGTTTGTGAATGGTTATGTGTTGTTTTGTTGTTTGGAAAAATTATGAATTATTGAAAATAAATACTGTTATATACTTATGTGAAATCATTGCCAAGTGGGTTAAAAATTTATTTTTGTTTATCATGATGAGATATTATTGTTCGGATATATTTCTGTTTGGATATTTGAATGATGCATGACTTGTCAGGGTATTTTAATGTATGGTGTTAATGGGAATTTCTGTTCGGTTAATTATTACCACGTGGTAAGCCCTCATTGGACCCAATGAGTGGCGTGTCGCTTGGTCCAACTCACCTTTGGCCGGGTGATTTGGCGTCCGAGCATGGCGAAAGGAGGATATAAGGTGCAGTCATGCAAATTAAATACTTGTTCAGTTTGTTTGAAAGTATTGTTCGGTTAAATGTTTTGTGTGCCCAC